CATGGTGGCCTATTAGTTGCTTAAAAACATCCAAAAGATTATCATTGATGCTATTTTGCTTGTCTATGCATTGTTTTGAGAATGTCTTATACTTTGTAACACTTGAGATAAACATTTGGTGAATTTCACTACACTGTAGAATCATTTTGGATGGGGATGAGGTTAGACCTCTGTTTCATCTGATGTTTAGTACCAGAACATGAAGAAGCTGCATAAGGCCAAAATATTTAGCTAGATTTCCATCCCTATCCAGAAGATTTCTGGCAGCTGCCAAAATAATAAGTGTTCATTATCTCACTTTAGTGACTTGTCCAGAATGGGTGGATCTGGAAACTCGGTGACCTGAACATATCCTTCTGTGGCATTTTACTAATAATGAGTGTAGGTGCACTTGGGAAATAGTCTCTTAAAAACTCTAGCCCTTTACAGTAATTACTGCTCATATGCCAGGACAGAGGTTTTAATGTGACCCACATTATTGGTGGTATGACCTTTTTCCCTGTGCACGCAGATACACACTTTGTGTGTGTGCATATGAGGGGAAGAGGGAGGGATCAAGGGAAGGAGGCAGGGAAGGAAGCAGGGAGAGAAAGAGAGAGCAATGATTGTGATCAATGATTTCCACTCTGGAATAGAGGGGAAAACTAAGTTTGCCCATCTGTAACATGAACTGAAATTACAGAGCAGTCATTATAATTGGAATACTGTGTTTCATTGCTTCTGTGACACTCACTATGCACCTCAAATCTCAGATAGCATGCTAAGCAGCAGAAATACAAAGACACACAATAGTATTTGATTTATCAGAATAAAAGTATTAGGTTCTCTCCCAAAGCCTATGAGTGAGCCAGTCAAGGGGTTTGGCTTGGTTAATAATGCCGAGAATGAATTTTACCTTGAAGAGTAGGCTCTAAATACAATCATAAAATGGCCGATTACTCTCATAACATCTATGCCACTATTATACTAGTAAGCATTTCTTGACAGACTTGTCACTATTGTAGCTTTCAGTGTTCACACATGGGTAAGACTACATGAGACTTTTCTCTCCCAGTAGTATATATAGGATCTTCTAGCACTATGAAATCTAGGCAGTGGGCATGAAACTTCCAGGTCTAAACCAATTTAATTTGTCAATGTTTTATAACTCAGGTATGTGGTGTCTTCAGCAACAGAATCTTAACATTACTTTCCATGGGATAGGCAAGAATAATGACAATAGGCTCTAATGATTAAAGACCCCACTGATGAACAACTCACAAATAGGCAGCCCATACCTGACACTGAGCTTTTTATTTATATGGTGCCTGGGAAGTTTATTCTCTAGAATAAAAAAAAACACATCTCAAATTAGCCACAGTGTGATATTAGGTAAATATGCTCATTGTTCAAGTTCCATAGAAGTTCTGTAACCATTTGAGTGGGTGTGTATAAAATAAATTCTAAAAATAATAGTGGTTTAAACTAATAAAGATATGTTCTCTCAGAAAAAAAGAAGCTAAGAATAACAAGTCCCAGTATGGTACAGAAGCTAGGCTAGGCGCTGTTCCATCCCTAGCATTGGTCTGTCCTCCTCAAGGTTGTTTCATTTTTCATGCTGGTTACAGGGGCCAACAAGAAGGAAGGCAGGTGAAGGGTGGTAGGGGACCTTACCCAGCTACATCGGATTCTTTAACTAGTCTCCCAAGGACACATTGCATTTCCATTTATAATTTAATAATTACAATTTGGATGTATGGCCAAGGAGAAATGCCTTCTTTTAATTCAAAATATTACTATCCAATATAATTAGAGCTGTATTACAGGGGAAACATGAAACCATCTATAATAGTTAATAATCCATAGTCTCTATTATCTATAAAGAAAAGACCAAGAAAACATGGAGCTAGAATCTGGAAAAGTCTTTCTTTGCACCAAGGATACTTCATTTAGAGTTTGGGAGATCAATAAAAATCCTCCAAGTACAGGGTTCAATACATAAAGTGCAAAATGCTTAAAGGAACAAAGTTCTGGCATTATGCTAACCAATTCAGCGCATTTCTACATTTCTAGTTACTTTCTTTATTGTTAACAATAGATTGAAAAGTAACAGTCTAAATTCTAATTAATCTATTAGTCAATCACATTTCCTACTTGGACCAAAATAAGAATATTTTATCTGATGCTAAAGTATTTCACATTGTGAAAATAATTGAATTAGAATACTTTGGAATCTTAATAAGGGAATTGATATAGAGGAAAAGTAAAAAATCAATGTGTTAGGGAGATATTTGTGTCTTAAGCATTGAAATTAAGCAATGCCCTGTTAGAACTCACTTGCTTCATATCCGGGTTCCACAGACCCACCCTGAGAGCACTAAGTGGGGCTTTGACCAAATTACTCATATAGTATGTCACCTCCTATTTAGCCATTCCTACTATAACAGTTACTTTGGATCTAAGAAAGCTAAATTGTTACTTTCCTAGCATGGTTTCGGAGCTGCAAAGACATCTTTAGAATCACGTAAGGACTTTTTATAATTATCTTCTCTGGTACCATTAGAGACATCAGTGTCCATTAAAAATTTCCCAGAGAAACATAAACCTTTTGAGAAACCTGCAAGTTCTAGAAAATTAAGGTGTAGATCCAGTTAGTTTGAGATGCCTAAGAACACAAATTCTCATGCCCACCTTGTCCTTCTACAAGGATCTTGTGATTCTGGGGAGCTTGTCATCTCAAACCTGTCTTTCTCCAGTCCTGAGCAGCGAAGCACCCAGAGAGACTCTGATCCTTGAGTGCCATGCATTTTCAAGGGAGTCTGTTGCACTAAAGAACCTAGTTTTGTGAGCATTTTCTCCTGCCTCTGGGATTTTCCTATTTCTACACAGTCAGTGTTGAATATTGCACTTTTAAAGGATGTGTTCTAAATAGAAAGGATGTGGTGTAAATACCACAGATACATGTACCCATGCAGTGTTTACTCCAGCTCTCCAGCCCTCTCTAAGCTGAGAAGACTCTTCCTCTGTCAGTTCTTCTCTGTTTCTCTCATCAAAGCCACTGTGTTTTATGCTCTCAGGATGCTGTGTGTCTGTATTTGTAGTAGTCTCATGATTATCCGCTTACTTTTATGATGATTTGGCTATTATCTTCCTCCCAACAACACTGGAAGTCTACTGCAGGTGGGCCCATATGTGCTTAACTGGATCCCAGAACTCTGCTCCTCACAGAGTGTCTGACTCTTAGTAGATCCTCAAAAAATGTTATTTAAATTGTTAAATGAGATTCTTGAAGTAGGTACTTCAGCAACTTCCCTTTTACACTGTCTTCAAAATGCAAGCGTGAATAAACACATGTTCCATTCATGTGGAAGCCCACATTCAGATAAGAATTTTGAAAATAACTCTACTACGGCTCCACAGAAACCTATGAAAGAAGTCCTAATAACTAACCATGAGCCTCTTGAAATATCACTCCATTTCTTCTTTATTTCATCAAAAACAACAATTGAAATAATTTGGTAGCATGATAAGGCTTTGGCATTAGCTCAGTATGGGATTCCAGGATATACAACCTGGTATCATATGGTGTAGCTGTGTTTTTCTTTTCTTTTCTTTTTATCTTTGGAAGCTCACCACCCAGCTCCCAAATAGATACAAAGAGACTTATTCTTATTGGTGAATGCCAGGCCTTAGATTGACTTGTTTCTAACTTAAATTATCCCATTTATCTTTAACTATGTTTTGCCTCTGGACTTTTCACCTTTTTTATTCCCTATCTCTTTCTTGTCTACTTACTCCATGGCTGTCTGTGTGACTGATCTCTAGCATCCTCCTCTCCTTCTCCTTCCCCTTCTCCTTCTTCTCCTTTTCTCACTCCTTGCTCCTCTTCTCTCTCTAGATTTCTCCTCCTATTTATATTCTCTGCCCACCAGCCCTGCCTATTTCTCTCTCCTGCCTAGCTATTGTCCAGTCAGACCAATAAGGTGTTTAGTCAGGCAGACTAACACAGTTTTACAGAGTTAAACAAATGCAACATAAAAGAATGAAACATATCTTGGCATCACTAAACAAATATTCCGCAGCATAAACAAATGTAACACATCTTAAACTAATATTCCACAATGGTATGTACCTGGCCTGTTTCTCTAACTTAAACATAGGAAAGAAAACATCAAAGATACAAAGAAGCTTGCCTGCCTAGCTGATAAAGGTATGGTTTCATTAAAGCCTGATGTGCTCCAACTATGAATAGCTTAGAACACGTCTGTCTGCTTATTAGCCAAGTATCCATAGGCAAAACTCCTAACTTCAATGGAGGTATCTTACATGATCATTTTGAAAATTAATGAGATGTCTGTTTTTGCTTTATACAGGAAAGAGCCACGCAGAACCATTCCTTCTGTACACAAACACACACACACACACACGCACACACCTGTGTTAATGTTACTAGAAATATTACTGAAAAAACTCGTATCACAGCATTAAAGAAATGTTAACCTACAGATGAAGTACTCTTCCCATTTCTTAAAATACAATAATGAACCTAATGTGCAAAACGCTTATGCAGTTTGTATTTTAAGCAAAATTCAGCACTTGGAGATTATTGACAATGTTTACAGCTGTAGTTGCTTTACATCTATGCATTTTGTAATCTGAGAGAGACATCATTATTGACACTGATAATTACTTTTGCACTAAGGTTGTAGAATATCAGTAGTCTAGAATCTATTTCTACTTTCTCCCCATCCTTCCCAGTACCCATTCTCTGTCTTCTATAATCTTCTCACTTATATACTTGAACTATAAAGGTATTTTTATCCATGCTACATGTCTTCACCTTAGCCTGATTCATACTCTATTAACTCCCTTTAAAATGAATGTTTCTCAGAGATGAGGGGTGTGTGTGTGTGTGTGTGTGTGTGTGTGTGTGTGTGTGTGATTTGGTAGCCATTGGCCTTACCATAGATCCCTGCACTGAGAGGTACCTTGTTGAATTATGAATTTCTCTTTCTCATTAGATTGTTGGCTGTGATCACCAGCTGGGAAGCACCGTCAAGGAGGATAACTGTGGGGTCTGCAACGGAGATGGGTCCACCTGCCGGCTGGTCCGAGGGCAGTATAAATCCCAGCTCTCTGCAACTAAATGTAAGACACTACAGAGATGGGCAATTTCATACTTGTTGACTTCTTATTCAACCCTCACCTCTCTATGACTCCCCTCTGCAACTGGGGAATAAAGCATTTACCAAAGTGAGAAGAATCTGAAAACTTGGAGTGAATATGTTCCTATTTTGTGGATTCATATGGAATAAGTCAGATCACCAGTTATAACCCTTTCCTTCTGATGCACAGTTGGAGAGAACATTAGAGACAGCCAAACTTTTCTGCTCAATGGGAATACAGACTTCAATCTAGCTCCTGTCTCATATGTAGTTTGAGATGCCTGATAAAAGTATCACAGAGAAAGTGGGGAAATCAGGATAAATTCACCCCTACTACTGCAAAGCCGTGTGGCCCTGGATACAAGGTAGCCTGAGGTCTGTTCTGGCAATAGGTTCTTTCAGAATTAATATTGAGCCAAAGTTTTGTGACACCACTTATGTTTGTGAAGCCACTTAATTATCTCTGTGTCCTGATCACCCTGTGTCTGGAAGTAATGTGTGCTTTCTATACATGTGTGTGCTTTGAACGCTACACTATCATCTCACATAGTCTTTATAGGAATACCATTAACAAGGTAGTCTTAATTTTCATGTTATAGAGTTTATGACTGAGACTTTCCCAGATGGTGTGACTTTCTTGGGTAACATAAAGAGGTAATATTTGAGCTCAGAGTCTGAACCCAGTACCTAAACACTCATTTCTCCACTGTGCCATAATGTTACTGACTTACTCTGTGGTTAGATACTTATAAAGCAGATAGATAGATCAACTCAGAAGACCAAGGGTACCTGCCTACTTGAGTCTTGTAAGAATACAAGCCATAAATTCTGTGGTATATAAACCATGGAGCTGCATGTCCATGTGAATTTTTATAACAGTTTCCTCTGTGAGGATCACTATACAGAAAGAAGTGTGGCCTTTATATTCAAGAGCATGGGGTTTTTTATTTTTAAATTTAAATTAGAAACAAGGTTGCTTCACATGTCAATCTCAGCTCTCGCTCCCTCTCCGTGCCCTTCTCCCACACCCTCCTACCAACCTCCCAAACCCCCCTCTCCCAATCCCCACTCCTTTCCCCAGGGAGGGTGAAGCCCTCCATGGAGGTTGTCCATGGTCTGTCATTTCACCCAGGGCAGGGCATAGGCCCTCCCCAAAGAGTCCAGGCTGAGAGAGCATCCCTCATTTTGGGATGACCACCCAAAGTCCATTTGTATGCCAGGGATAAATACTGATTTACTACCCAAGGCCCCATAGATTTCCTAGGCCTCCTCACTGACCCCCACATTCAGGGGGTCTGGGTCAGTCCCATGCTGCATTCCCAGCCATCAGTCTGGGGTTCAAGAGCTCCCCCTTGTTCAGGTCAACTGTTTCTGTGGGTTAAACAAGCCCAGTCTTGACCTCTATGCTCATCATTCCTCCCTCTCTGTCACTGGGTTCCTTGAGTTCAGCTCAGTGTTTAGCTGTGGGTGTCTGCCTCTGCTTCCATCAGTAATCAGTTGAAGGTTCTGTTTCCCAGACTCTCTGGCAGTGGGATTATATGCTGGCACTCACATGATCCATGTCTAAAATCCATATATGAGTGAGTACATACCATATTTGTCTTTTGTGCCTGGGTTACCTCACTCAGGATGGTTTCCTCTAGTGCTGTCCATTTGCCTGCAAATTTCAAGATTCAATTGTTTTTTCCGCTGAATAGTGCTCCATTGTGTAAATGTACCACATTTTCTCTATCCACTCTTCAGTTTAGGAGCATCTAGGTTGCTTCCAGGTTCGGCTCTGGCTATTACAAATAATGCTGCTATGAATGTAGTGGAACAGATGTCCTTGTTATATGAATATGCATCTTTTGGGTATATGCCTAAGAGTGAAATTGCTGGGTCTTGTGGTAGGCTGATTCCCATTTTCTGAGGAATCTCCATACTGATTTCCAAAGTGGCTGTGCAAGTTGTCACTGCCACCAGAAGTGGAGGAGTGTTCCCCTGTCTCCACATCCCCTCCAGCATAAATTGTCATTGGTATTTTTGATTTTAGGCATTCTGACAGGAGTAAGATGGTATCTCAGAGTTGTTTTGATTTGCATTCCTCTGATGACGAGGGATATTGAGCCCTATCTTAAGTGCCTCTCAGACATTTTAGACTCCTCTATTGAGAATTCTCTATTTAGTTCTGCAGCCCACTTTTTAATTGGATCCTTTGGTGTTTTGGAGACTTGCTTCTTGAGTTCTTTGTAAATTTTGGAGATCAACCCTCTGTCAGATGTGGGGTTGGTAAATATCTTTTTCCATTCTGTGAGTTGCCTTTTTGTCTTGTTGACTGTGTCCTTTGCCTTACAGAAGCTTCTCAGTTTCAGGGAGGTCCCATGTATTAATTATTGACCTCGGTGTCTGTGCTACTTGGTGTAATGTTCAGGAAGCAATTTCCTGTACCAATTCATTCAAGGGTAATTCCCACTTTCTCTTCTAAGAGGTTCAGTGTGGCTGGATTTATGTTGAGGTCTTTGATCCATTTGGACTTAAGTTTTGTGCATGGGGATCTATCCGCATTCTTCTACATGTCAGCATCCACTTACACCAGCACCATTTGTTGAAGATGGTTTCCTTTTTCCATTGTATATTTTTAGCTTCTTTGTCAAAGATCAGATGTTCATATTTATATGGGTTAATATCCGGGTGGTCAATTCGATCCTATTGGTCTACCTGTCTATTTTTGTGCCAATACCAAGCTGTTTTCAGAACTATAGCTCTATAATAGATCTTGAAATCAAGGATGGTGATGCCTCCATACATTGCTTTATTGAATAGTGTTGTTTTGGCTATCCTGGGTCTTTTGTTTTTCCATATAAAGTTGAGAATTGTTCTTTCGGAGTCTGTGAAGAATTGTACTGGGATTTTAATGGGGATTGCATTCAATCTGTAGATTGCTTTTGGCAAGATTGTCATTTTTACTATGTTGATCATACCTATCCAAGGGCATGGGTTTTTAGAGCCATTTTGACCCTGGCCTAATGTTTTCATTTTCCACAACCCTTCAGTATATCATTTCCCAGTATCTATGTCCATATGTCTCTGCAGCCGGGGAAATGAGAGTACATTTTTGAGTGTGGTTTTGACCTCTTTACTTGTTGACTAGTTAGAGGAAAACAATTGACATGTGGCAGGTTTATGGCTTCAAATGGACCTGCAGGTGAGGAGCAAAGGCAGATGGAGTTCTTCTGGAAAGCACTGAAGAACTATTCCATGAAGCCATGAAAAGGCACCTTGCCAAAAGGGAGGAGCCTCTTGGGAAGAGGGGCAGGATGAATGACCAGGGATGTTTAAGCGCATGAAGGATTGTAGATCGCTGCTTAGGAAGCTCATCACATTTTCACTACCCTGGAGGCAGGGAAGAAATGTGATTCTCTGAAAAACTAAAACTTCTAAGAACGCTGGCAGCTAAAATGAAAGATGGGGTGACTCAGACATTGATAAAGCACATCCAGGCAAGAGTTTTCTTTTCTCATATGTGTTGGTCATATATGTTGGCAGATTTTTTTAATATGATGAAGAATTAAGGAAGTCAGACAATGGAAACCAGAAATGGGTAGGGGTAGCACTCTTGTGTAACATCTGAAATTTGGGTTGAATAGTATTATGACAAAAATGCACTTAAGGGACACTCTTAACAGAATTCTCTAGGAAGTGCTGAAGAATTGAAATCTTTCTAATTATTTGTTACATATTTGAATTGGTGTCCATTATCCAGAAATGCAGGAATTGCCACTAAGCACAAAAGGTTTGTTAGGTATGTGTGCAGCAACTGCTCTCTGGTGACTCCTGGAAGCCTGTTTTAATAGAGGGTCTTCCTTTATCTCATGACTCCACCTCCTGTTCCCATAGTGGAGGCAGAACAGTGTTTCCATGGGTATCCTTCTTACCCTCCTATTGGGGGCATCAGGGATGCTCAGGTTCTGAGTCATTGCAGTATAGGAAGAGAGCTTTGAAAGAACAAACTGAGGCAAGTTGAGAGCCATATGTCATCCCCACTTCTGCAAACACATACCTCAGTGAAAGGAACTCCATTCAAAACCGACAGTGGGTAAATTATAGAACACATAACCTGATGATTATACCTAATGACAAAATGCAATTGATTCGTTTACCTTAGCCCTGATGATGCCTCATGACAAAATGATTTATCTCAACAAAGCCCAACATGTGCATGCCCCTCACCACAATCTGTAGCAGATGCTGAGCGAGCTGCCTCACTTAGATTTTTCTCCACCCCAGAAGAATCTCCTGCCCTGGATTTACAGACTTCAAGGCAGCCCACAGGCAAGGCTGATTAGCTGCTCAACAGGCAGCATGCTGGCCAGGTGAGCAGGCTCTGCCACCGAGGCTCCAGAGGAGTTCTGCCAGGTATCTCCCGCAGTCTTGCCAAAAGGAGCCATAAGCCAGCCACATGCTCACTTCCAACTCCTAGGACTCAGATTCCACACACTGAACTCATTTTCTTTCTAAATTTATATCCAAGTTTTTTTCTTATGTTATCAAAACTCATGGGAACAAAGGAAAAACAAAAGAGTGGAGAAAGACCATTGCAGAAAGGGCCAGAATGAAAAAAAAAATAGGAGTAACTTATCAAATTGCTGCTGGTGAATGAAAAGGAAGACATTATAGTTGCCCACTCCTTTTTCATAGGAAAAGGCTCCATTGATGATGGTCAATCCTCCTTTCATATTAAATTATTGACTTCCTCAGACCGATTAAGAAAAAAATAATTAGCTAACTTTAGCATGCTTTTGATTCTTAAATTGCAAAGGCTCATTTTTCTCATGAGCCTTATTCACATGTGAGGTAGTATGTGTCTTCTTAGACTCCTACACCCAGGTCCAGCCTGTTTGCTATAAATTTATATTCATTATGCAGAACTTTCTAATGCCCCTGTAGGTTTTGAAGCCACCAGGACGTCCTCACACTACCTCACCACACTCCTTGAGTGACAAG